TTTTAACCAATACACTTATTAACAAGGATATTTTTAAAAAAAACCAATTCATTTATTACAAATAACTAATTTAACTAATTCTCTCAATCTATTTAAATTAGTTAATTAGTTCTTAAATTAAGAATCTGAAACAGTATTAATTAATTATTGATCCTGTTTTTTTAAAAGAACTCAAGGTGGATTTTATGGAGCATATTGGACATAAAGTACCGATAAGGTTTTCTGGTATGAATGTTAATTTGCTTCGCTCAGTGTGCACACAATGCGGACAACTTTTTAAGATGAAGAGGTGATAGTGTTATAAATATTATATCAATCTCGACTCTCCAAGTTCTCCGCAGACCCAGAAAAAAGTCTCGAGGCTTTGAAAACAAGACGAAAGGAAAGTGCCCTGGTCAGAGGAGGGAGCACATTATGCAATTGCAATTGCTGGAGCCAAAATAACAGTACAGTACGCTATTATGGCAAAAATATCAAGATTGTTACTCACCAGGTGCAACTCGGGCGCTATGAGAAAGAGAACAGGACAGCAATGTCAAATGACGGCCTCTGCAAACCAGTAACTTTCTCCAAGCAACTAGCAAAGAAACCTAATCAGGAGAGAAAAAGAAACATAACAGAGTATGAAATATTGCATCTAGTTCAATTATTCTTACTTTGAACACAACCAAAACTTCTGGTAAGGAGGGGGGGGGGGGGGGAGCACAAGCAAAACAATTGAGAATCGGAGATTAGCAGATTTGTCCTCAGGTGCCAGAAACCATATCCAGATTACTCTGTCATTATTATCAAGAAAGATCTAATTGACGGGCGAAAATGACCACAGCCGCGGATCAAATATTTGCATCATAGTAGGACATTTGTGACATCAGCAAGAGCCCACAATTATTGGAAACAAAAGCAGCTGTTCTCCGATAAATTGCAAATTACAGAGATCCACACAAGCAAATCTCAAGGAAACCTAATACAAAAGATTTTAAGAGGTCTTTGGGAGGGGAAGCTCTGCTGGAGGTTCCCTGGCAACACCTAGGACTGAATCATATTCCTCATCACGTCGACCAAACTTCTTCCGGACAACCTTCTCAAATTCAGTCGTATCCAATGGTTTTGCATTTTCAGCAGCATGAGCCTGAGCCAAATTGGCGTAATTTAAAGCTGATTGAGCGAAGAAGGCCATTTCATTTTCTGTGAGCTTTCTCAAGAACCTTGCTGGATTACCTCCCCAAACCTACAACAAAACCTTACTAATTTTAGCTAGTCTCCACGGATCAAAGACAAATGATAATCGCAACACAGGCATCACAAGCTATTAAGCTGAATCCCTTTCTAACCGTTCACTTGAAACCAGCTAGGATCATTGAGAATGCTCTATATCATCAATATACAAATGCAGGTCATGACAAGATCTAAATATTCAACTTTCAGGAAGCGGACCAGAAAAGTATCTTCTTAAAAAAAGAAATCATACAAACCTCTCCATAGGGGATCTTGGTATTCTGCCTAACAAGGGCTCCAGCAGCAACCATGGCATGCTTCTCAACATATACCCCATCAAGCAAGGTAGCACCCATGCCAATAAATGCCTCATCCTCAACAGTACATCCATGTAATACAGCACTATGACCTGTGAAATTCAATGGAGACAACTGTCAAAATATTTAGACAAAACTTGAAATAAGACTATGCTCAACACAATCACAACATGGTCACAATTTACCCATGACTCTGTCACTAACCTACAGTGACATTATCTCCAATGATAGTTGGTAAGACCTTCCCACTCAAATTTGACTTTGCCACATGGACAAGAGAATTGTCCTGTATATTGGTTCCACATCCAATACTAACGCTGTTAGCATCACCTTCACAGGTTCACACAAAAAGTACCATTAGTTAAAGAAGAAAACAACAGGTGGAGCACATGTGTACTTACAAAGGGAAAAGTGAGCAAAATTGGTACTCAACCCCATCACACATGTAGTGAGTATTTATGTATATACGGGTAGGATGGATAAGATGTTTGTCCTTGATACCCCATAACTGCAAATAGTTGAAGCAATAAATGGGATAAAGAAATTTCTTTCTTTCTCTCCCTTTTTATTGGTTGTCAAATCTCATATGTCCTCTTATTTTCCCGATAAAGGGAGAGAAGGAAAATTTTTAAGTATAAATATCTACTCCTTCCTTCAGACAAATATTAACAGATGAGATATGGATTAAAAGAAATCCTTCTCTGTATTTTTTTCCTCTGTTCTGTCCAGTTATTTGTCTGAAGATAATGACCAAGTCATTTGGCAGAACTCCCCACCCCCCCCCCTTCTCTCAGTGCTTTTATTTTTACTTTTCATTTTAACTTTATTCGGTGACTTCCCTGACAGGGTGCAGATAAGGTGGTGTTATATTGTCTGAGCTTAATATGATGTGTTCAATACGGTACTGTATTGATATTAAAAACAAAAATCTAAATCGCCTGTTTTTCTCTGCAGAAATATTTACACAACATACGCAAATCAACTAATACATTCCCTTTTTACCCCAAATCAAATCATGTTCACAATAATGGGTGGGAGAGCTTAATATGATGCGTTTCGTATACAATGGGGCTGATATTATGAGACTATTCTAACAGAGTTCAGGATCGAACTTCATCAAGGAATCGAGAAGAATTTCCATTCAAATCAAATAATAAATCGCATTATCAATGAGCTAAAATTGTAGGTAACTTCAGAGTTTTGATGATGGGGCAATTTACCTCTCAGGACACATCCATACCATATGGAAGAACCCCGCCCAACCTGAACATCGCCAATTATTGATGCATTAGGGGCTACGAATGCTTCCTTATCAACCGCAGGAGCTTTGTCAAATACATTCATGAGAGTCCGATGCCTAGACACTGAAAAGAACCACAAATTAAAAGGGAATGGGGAGAAAGCAAAGGAAACTCTGAAATGAGATGGTCTGAAACGTCATTGGCCAAGATGGAAAGATACTTCAAATTTATGGCAGTGCAGAGCTAAATATATAATCTTTCAGCCCTAGTTACACAACTAGGTATTACGAAAGACAAAACTGCCAAGAAACACAGAATCTGTTACGTTTAGGAGAACCATATCTGATTAAAAACGGAAAAGAAAAAAAAGTACCGAACAATGTAAGGCAGAACAACGAGATTAAGGACTTTGAAAGCCATTAAACACGAGACCTTAAGCCGAAAGTGCCAAAAAGGAATTCCAAGTTTCCTCATTTTTTTTCCTCCTAGGAGACAAAATGGAATAATGAAGGTGGGGCTTTACAAACACATTTGCTGGCACATTAACCGCAAATAATCCAGATACAACTACAACATTTGATAGGGATCGATGGTTGAAAAGTAAAGGCACTCAAAATGGATATCAGGAATCACGCAGTCTCTCTAGGGTTTCAGAAGATAGAGGAAGGGAGAGACATACGCTGTTCTTGGAAGTAGTAGTTTCCCTGAAGACGGGAGCCAAGGCGATCGAGGGCTTGGCCCGTCTCACGGATCCAGAACCCAACAGAGTAGAATGCTTTGCCCAAGGTTCCCATGTTCCTGTCTTTGAATCGAGCCCAGATTACTTTGATCAGTTCAGGGATTTGAGGAGTTGGGTATCAGTTGAGGACCCAAAGCATTGAGCAACAGAACATCAGCAGAGAAAATGGCAGAGAATCGAACAAGTCGCACCACCAGAATGGGAGCAGGAGTGGGAGAGGACTCAACACAAGACGCAGCGTTTCCCCTCACTTGTTTCCCTTGCTGCTCTCCTTCTCCCGTTCGCAGAAACGAGCAGCGGAATATCGCCACGTGTCGTCCGTTAGCCCCGTTTTATAAGTGCCACGCACTCCTATTTGTGTCTCGCAACGTTTGCTTCCCACAACACCGAGAGGAATTTTTTTTTTTTTTTTTCACAGAGGGAAAAAGGGAGATTCATGAAATGATGAGTGATTACGAGCAAGCAGATCAATAAAAAAAGGGCGGCTGAAAAGAAACAAAAGGAGTTACAAAAGATTTGGCACTGTGAGTGCAGTAAATAAAAGAATGAACAGATAGAATAAATAAGATCGGCTGCAGTGTAGGATTCATGGGCGAAGATCTGTTTGTTCCAACATGAATTGGCCAGCGTACATTTTCAAGGCACATGGTCAGGATCTTCCTGGCCAGTGTCCAGCAAGATTGTCAACCTGTGACGTCTCACAAGACCATTAATAGAAAGAGAGATTTTATATAATTATTTCTTCCATATAGTACTTCTAAAAAATGGCATAACTCGTTTAACTCATAAATTCAAGTCTAAGATACATTTAGTAAAGCATAATAGAAGCATTTTATGGTCTCTTAAGACTTTTTTATTGAAAATTATCTTTTTAAAACCTTGTCTGAGAACAAGGATACGAGGAGCCAAGAAAAGCAAATAACAATAGTTGCGGTGGAAAGAAATGCAATTGCTTTGGCGTAATCGCTCCAGCGATGGCCCCATTGGGAAACATATTAAAAGACAATTGTCCAGGTACATAATGACATTGGAAATTACGAACCCCTTTCATTTTCCTTATTTATTTTGGGGAGCCTTTCATCCTCCTCGTCCAACGTTATCTTTCATTTGTTTTGGAGTATTATTATGTTTCACAGCTGGAACCGCCCCTTCCACAGCATGCCTGATGTCCTAGTCTGTGGGGATAACTGTTGGAGGATCATCTTATCTTTTTGGGGGAAGCGTGATTTGATCCGTGAGAACTAGCCCAGTTGAGAAACGAACTCAACACGTTATGAAATAGAAGTGAAATTCCATCGGCTGAAATAAAGTTAGGGGGTTTTATCTGCACATTTTTTGCCATGAACTTGTATGTGAAAAAAGAAAAAATCAGAGGTTTTTCTTTGATAGTGTGTACGCGTCCAAGAAACTCCTTACCAACATCTATCTTTATCTGCTGCTATTCATTCTCACTGTGTTTTACAAGAACACTGCCTAGTGCGGCTCATGTTCATCATACATAGGTGTGCTCAATGTTGATGATCCCATTGAGAACCTCGGACTCCGCATCACCGTTATACTGAAATTCCATTCTCCTTTTGATTTAGCAGATTAAGATGAGAAGTCCATATCTGCTCACATATATGGCCTGCTGACACAGCTCTTTCTGTATATGCTCATAAACTTGGCCACAAATTCTGCGGAGAATTGCATATCAATCTCATGTACTAAAACAGCAAGACTTTGCATATCTTGTTATATGCAAAATGAGTAATTCTGGTGTCACTCGTGTTTGTTTTTTGACAGGGATTAGAAGAGTTTCGATGTCTTTACCAGCTAACTTGTTTAAAGCTATAGTTCCAGGTGGGAGTCTTTTGTCCTGTAAAGTGGAAACATACGACTTGGTATACTAATTTTGTATCATATTGTAGAAAGTTTGATGAGGAAGAGAAACTCACATAATAAGCGTGCCAATAGTAGAGTTCCCTTTTTAAGCTGGCTTCGATATTTTTCAAAAGTTCTTCCACTAGTTTCTGCATGTGTCAGGACACAAGTTCCATTACAAAATGAAAATACTACTACCTCATGTTCTAATTATAAGATTTTATTTGTAATTTACAAATGAAATCTTATAATTAGGATTGGAGGTAGTATTTTGGTTAAGTGTTACAAGACATAAGTGATTCATCACCTGGAGAATGAGTTTTGGGTGAACAAAATCCTCCATAAGCTTCTGAAATTTTTCTCTTACTGAGATTAGGCTGATCAAACCACAAGAGAAAAGAATTAAAATGAAAACACTATTTGATCTATTGCAGTCTTCAAAACATGGATAGAGATTTTCCTTTCCATTTTGAAATTTTGGTACCATGAATTTGATGGATCAGCTATGATCTCTGAAGCAATTTCTATTACAACATCCTCCCATCCAATTGAAATTGGCTGTTCTTTCAAAAATGGATATCTGCATAGAAAAGTACAGGTTTCCTTAACTGAGATGTTGTAGAACAAGAAAACAAAACAATGCAAACGTGGGTAAGAAATCCATCCTTCTATATATCATATTTCCCTCACTCTGATGCAAAGCAACAGAAGTTAAATTTTTTTTTTTTCCTCTTTAAGCCGTCTGGATCCACACTTGGTAATGCAATCTGAGGGGTTGTGCAGTTTTGTCATTTCATCATCTTACTCGAATGCTTTGCATGCCTCAAGAGCCATGATAGCTTGCCTGAGATTCTGATTAGATTTTGCTGCAATCATAGCAGCAAAATTCATTGATAGATGAATATCCTCTTTCCTTGCTATCTCAAACAGAACCTCTACAATCTGGGATATTGGGGTTCCACATCAGTATTTACAACACTTAAATCCTTAAAGTTCAAACCAAATAAGAAGAGGAACAAAAAAGCTGTATTCTTACCTGAGTAATAGTAGGTGGACGAACCTCAATCACTTTGAGCAGGTTCCTCACAGAGTCAGGAATGTCAACATCATCTTGGCAGCAGAGTATTAGTTTGCATATTTGGGAGTGGCAATCTATAATCCATGAGATTATGTGCTGGATGTCCTGTCCTGCCTTGTCAACCTCATAGAGAACTACCACTGAACACGATTTAAAGCATGCTGCTTATTAGTAGCCTCACAGACTGTGAGAAGTAGAGTACAAGTCTATGTGCATATTCTTTGAACTGACCTTGACAATCTGACTTGATATTGAGATTGGCATCTTGGGGTGTTACTGCATAGATACAGTTCATTTCCTTCACTAACCCAATCAAAGCATGCTTAGCATTCCGCTCCAAATTTACGTTTAGTTCCACGTGATGACGACTGAACGTTATTGGAACACTTATTTTCGTAGGCCTACCTTCCTGTCATTTACTAACCACGAGATTCAGAGATGGGTTTCAATCAAGGTTAGAATGAATAGAACTTGGGAAATCTGTACCTGAAAGGGGAAATATCTTATATCGTGGGATAACTGCATCAAAAAGTGTTCAGTAAGGTGAGCTCAGAAATTGTGAAATATATAAGGCGAGGTCAAATCAAGATGCATACGTTCCAACACTCCTCGCCGTATATTTCTCGCAGAAGAGCCATTGCTAAGGCTCTTTTCCCTGTACCGGGGGGACCTTTTAGCAGAGCGTGTGGAATTTCATCAAGAGACACCTATTAGTCAAAATCATCTCAATTAGAAGCGCTAGTATACGATGCGGAAATTATTCTGCAATCGAACTTCTTATAAATTTTGATGAAATTGTATAAGTTTTTTTTAACAATTGATACATGCTTATTTTGAACTAAGAGGGAGCTACATGAACTTTAAAAAAAAAAAAAAAAAGGGAACTACATGATTCTCAATTTGTTTAATAACTACACAATGTCTCTTTCATTTTTCCAAGTTTTTGAAATTTTCCATTGAAAATAAAGACCAACTCCTTATTTTTGCGAAAATAATATAAACATATTCTAAGAATCAATGGGGGATTTTTATGTCATTATTTATTTCATAAGAATTATAGTTTTAAATAACAAATGATAAATTTATGTAATCGTGATAAAATTCGGGGACGACTAGGATTGGCGTAAAAAATTTTCAAGGTTCAAGAGGTCTTATTTTAATACATCAGCGGCCATTGAGGGGCAGAGCAGGAGAAGTATAAGAAAGCTGAGCTTACAAATTGCTTGAGAAGTTGAGCTTCTTGTTTGTGGCAAACGAAGTCATTCAGGGAAGCAGGTCGGTACTTATCTGCCCAGAATTGTGGCAGACTCTCCACCACGCACGCTCTCTCGATGATCAACGCTTCATTAACTCTTGCACGTTCCGGTGATCTTCTTGAGTTCTTGCATGATTTTCGTCCCATGCAAGAAAACAATGCTCGTTTCTCCTCCTTTTTCTTCTTCCCCGTTATTTTCCCTCCAGAGGAGCTGGAAAGTGAAGTTCTACTAGATCTAAATGATGACGGCGATGATGATGTGCTCTGGATACTCTTGCGGGTTCGATTCGAAAAGAAAACAGGACCAGACTGAATCGACCCTGCAGAACCCGTTAATGAAATATGCCCTTGGGGACTCTCATAAAGTCTTGTCTCTGCAAACATTTCGTTGATTCTTCCTTTGGAAGGAGTTATATGCTTTTCCTCCCATGTTGGATCCTGCTTCTTGTTACCACGTAGAGTGCCATTTCTAATCCCATCATGCTTCATTCTCGAAGAAGATTTGATTTCTTCTCCAAACCTTACAGAAAGCATCCTGTGATGCGCCATGGAATGGAGCTCGCTGAGAAAACTGCGACTAGAAGGAGGTGGAAGCTATGGAGGAAGTACAAGTTATGAAGGCGAACGGAAGAAGAAGAAGTGGGGTATGAGAGAGCCATGGTTTCTAAAGGAGACATTATGGACGATGAGCACTAGAATTGTTGCGTGACGGGAAAATATGCCTTTTCCTAGCCGATCGCGGCTGGCAATTTTGTAGTATATTGTCAAGAGTTTGCAGTGGGCGCGTTACTTCTTATTCTCAATGACCCACTTGATTTTGGTTAAGAATTATAAAGCTCATGAAAAGAAATTTAACAGTACAATAATACTCTGTTTAAAAGCCACTTGTTTTATTTAAACAGCCAAGTAGTTCATTAAACATGAGCAAGACCTTTGGTTTATATTATTGGTAGAGTAAGCAACAATTAATGGATGTCACAAAACAGGGGGGGAAATTGGTGAAGAACGGTTTTTCCTCTCTCTTTTTTTTTTCCTTTCTTTTTCCTTTTACTTTTTACTCACTGATCACAAACATGCAGAATATTCATGTGAACCGCTAACGTTTGCCCCCAAAACAGAACAAACAGTGAACCTTTCTATGTATGAGAAAGACAAGTCTTTTTATTGCACTAAGTGTAGATACACTCGATGAATGGAATCTTAATCTTCGGGTGTCCATAAAGAGAACAGCAGAAAAGCCCTTGTAAGAAATTAGGATAGTATAGAGGAATTAGAATTGGAAAGGAAATTGGGGTTTTTATCAAAATAATTTGCACTTTTTTTGTTGGTAAAATATAAAAATATTTGAATATAAATTTTTTAATTCAAAAGTAAATAATACAACATCCTTTCTAATAAAAAGAGATAATTATTTTCATCTCTAAAATCACAGTTTCCAGGAAAAAAAAAAGTGACATTTTTTTAACTATTTTTATGGAAGGTTTTTTTTCTTATGTTTGAAGAAAGGTGAAATTTTCACAGGAAAAGAAAACTACTACTCTATAACGTGGATTTTATGTCAATCTCTATTTCTTAAAACTTTTTCTTCCTTCCTACAAAACATGTTCTTCAGTGTATGTGAAAAATTTATCCTAAGAAAATGGTTAAGAGTATGATGCCGGATTTTCTTATTTTTCCCGTTATATTAGGTTAATTTTTAATATAAGAGCTATTTTGATTTTTAATTTTATTCTAAATATAAGATTTCAATTCATTTTATCTCTTATATTTATATATTTTTTTAAAGTACTCCTTATTGTGTATATATTAATGATTTCATCAAATGATAGTTTTAATTAATATACATGATTAGCAAAGACATTCTATAAAAGATAACACATATTTATTACAAATAATTAATTTAACTAACTTTCTAAATTCACTTACGCTATGTTTGGTACGGGGTTTTTGGAGGGGAGGGGAGGGAAGTTGCTCCCCTCCCCTTGTTTGGCTGGTATAATTTTTTAGGAGGGGAGGGAAGGAGCTCCCCTCCCCTCGTTTGGTTAAGATGTTTTTTAAAGAGGGGAGGGGTTCTTCTCCCCTCCCCTTCCCTTCTAGCCTCCCCTCCAAAAGTGGGGTTTTTTGGAGGGGAGGTGAGAGATGATATTTTAATTCCTTATATGCCCTTTCGATTTGTTAACCTCTAATCAATCATAAACATTTCTACATAATAGAGTTCTTTTGAGCATCTAATAAGAGGTTATTAAGATAATTATCTCCAAAATTAGTGAGCATTTGTAAACTTTTTTTCTCTTCTTCTAATTCTAAGAAGCCGTTGGTATTTTCTTTCACCTTCAAGGTCTTTTCTCTGATTGAAATCTATCACTTGTGACTTTTTGTCTTGATATTCTATAAGTGTGTGACTGTATCTTGTAAATCAAAATTAGTGAATTGTATTATATATATATATAGTTATATCTTAACAAAATAAAAGTGAGAAAATTCATTTAAATTTTATGAGGCTAAAATAGTCAATTTTTTTTAGAACAAAATAAGGTATTATTAAAATCCCTCCCTCCCCTCCCCTCCAATCAATCCAAACAGGAGATCATTAAAATCCCTCCCTCCCCTCCCCCTCCCTCCCCTCCCCTTTGTAGCTACCCTCCCTTTTCCTCCCCTCCCCTTCCCTTGATTAAAATCCCTCCCCTCCCCTTCCCTCCGTCGAGCCAAACATAGCGTTAGGGTGTGTTTGGTTGGAAGGGAGGGGAGGGGAGGGGAGGGAAAATGAGCCCCTCCCCTCATTTGGTTAAAAAGTTTGGAGGGGAGGGGAGCTAAAATGTCCCCTCCCCTCCCCTCCCTTCCCCCATTTTGGCTCCCCTCCAAATTGGGGGGTTTTTGGAGGGGAGCCAAAATTTTGGACCATTATGCCCTTATGGCTTTTTTAATATTCCACTTCTACCCATAAAATATATTATTATAATATTTATTTCAAATAAAAAATATATTATCCTAAGTAAAAAAATAAAAAATATATACATTATTATAATTAAAAATATATTATAAAAATTATTTAAAAATAAAAATTATTTAAATAAAAAATTATAATATTATAAAATTAATTGTTTTTGATAAATATATTATTTATTAAATATATTTTAAAGCTGGAAAAAAAGATAGCCTAAAGAAAATAAAATTTTATTTTTCTTATAGCATATAAAATTTGTTAATTTGATTATTTTAAATATATTATTATATTAATTAGAATAAAAAATTACTATACCAATTTTTTAATACACATATTAACATAATAAGACTGAATTTTTATTCAATTATATAATTTAAATTAAGATGTAAATTAATTTATATAATATATCAATAAAAAACATAAACTAATATGTAAGGGTAAAATGGTAAATTGATTATTACTATCCCTCCCCTCCCCTCCTTGAACCAAACAAAGGATCATTAAATACCCTCCCCTCCCTCCTTTTTAATCAAACCAAACAAGGTGAGGATGAAACCTCCCCTCCCCTCCCCTACCCCTCCCTCCCCTCCCCTTCCCTCAAACCAAACAGGCCCTTAAATTTGTCAATTAGCCGAAGATTATTGCTTTGTTTTTAATCAAAAGGGGCCAACATGGGCCCACATTTTCTCGAAAAATCAGAGCATAGAACGACCCGATTGGCGATGGTTTTGGATGAAATAGATATCCATACATACGAGACCCGTAGTAAGATTTTGTATCGAACTGGCAAAAACAATAAGATTTTGTATTGAAATTAAAAATGAGAAGAAAGTAATATGAGAGGCGTGTTATTGTAATAGCAATGTATGATGTATCTTCATATATTGATTTTATGCAAACAATCATTCCATGTTTATCATTATATTAGCTTATTTTAAATAATTTAGTATAAAAATACGAGAAGAGTTTTATCTTATAAAATATTTAAATAATTTAAATAATTATAGGAGTTTTTCACACAAACACGACTGGAACATTAGAAAAAATTTTACGTTGAGAACAGTATTAATTATTTCAGAGAGTGAAATAAGCGAGTCCTTTAACTTTTTATTTAGGCTAAAGTATATATTTAGTTCTTTATTGATCTTTTGACTTTAAAAAGTATACTTTTAGTTCTTTAATCCTAAATTTTTTTAAAAAATGATGACATTGAGATCTTAAATGTTGATAAAACATTATCAAATGCTAACATATTAAGTTTAGTTTCAAAAAATCCATGATTGTTACAAAAAATCATCACTGAAATTTAATAATTTTAGGGTTAAAGGACCAAATGTATACTTTTTAAAGTTAAGAAACTAAATTAAAATCTTATACAAAGTTAAATGATCAAATATATACTTTATCTTTTTATTTATTTTCACGGAGTTGAGTTTGACATGCTTGATTTTATGAAATCCAAGCTGTCCATCTATTATCAGAGAATTAAATTAAAATAAGAGAATTTTATTATTTTGCTAATAAACCTATTTAAGTCAATATTTTGTAAAAGAACCATAAAAATCATAATTATTAGGTACATTTTGAAGTCAATTTTCAAATTTTAGGGACTAATGTTGCTTTCCTACCAAGTGTGTGTTGGAGGGGCTAAGGATTTGTTTGGATGACAATATGATCTTTCAAAAGCAATTTTTTAATAATAATTTAAGAAATACTAGATAAGTTCATAAGAAGAGATTTGTCTTGATTTACATGAACATTATTAGAAGTGCTTATATTAAGCAGCTCCAAACAAGTACTAAAAAGAAATCCTATTTATTGATGGGTTAAGGTGTAAATCTATTTATAAAATACCATAAAATTTATTTAGGTAGAAAAATAAACATGAAATATCACACGCTCTAGGAGAGATTTTAATTTAATTTAATTTAATTTTTATAAAATTTAACAAAACTAAAAATCAATAAAAATTGAATATATGGATAAAATTGAGTAAAAAGATCATTAAAAACTAATTAAGATGCAGCAATAATCATTTTTTATTATTTAACTTTTTTATTTATAAAAACATAATTTTTAGTAACTAAAATAAAAGAAATTGATTTAGACATGATTTTTTTTCTTTGCCAACCGATTTAGGCATGATTTATTTATTAAATAAAAAGAAATAGTTTTTTTAAGGAAAAAGAACCTAGAAAATACAAAATAGCACTGGAAATAACAAATTTCTATAAAGGGTGATTCAAATTTTAGTTTTTTTTAATATAATAAGTATTCTAATTTTCTGTGATTTTCTTGCTCTGTTTTCTTGTAAAGAGGATTCTTTGTTCGATGTCCAAGTATCTTATCCCAACACGGGTGAATAACAGAGGCCTTGAATACAAAACGTCAGATTGCCTTATTCTGAACTTTACCCAACGCATTTCTATTTTCTCGATTCAATTATACTTTGATTTCTTTGTGCTTAGTGATAAGAATGCTGCTAACTCCCTCAAACCAACCCTTACTGCAAAGCAATGCGGAGGAGACCCTGAATCTGCTCGAGAGATGCTCAAGCATGAAAGAACTAAAGCAGATTCATGCCCGCGTTTTGAAACATGGAAGC